AACTACAGAAACTTTTGAGACAGTTTTGTGTGCCATGAGCTAACAAGACGATTACTAAAACTCTTCCTGTGGCTACTGTAAGATTTGACAGAATTAGATTATTTTATGGCACAAATAAATGTTTTTTGGCATTAAAGAGGAGGAGGGACAACAACAGCAGGTGAAAACCCAATTTCTAACTCATTTACCGACATGAAAAAAAATGCAAGGGACAACCTTTTGCTGAAAGAAAACAGGAAGCCACTTGGTATATTGTAAATGAAGTGACCAACCATCATGGAGTTTAGTTATGAATAGAAATTCATACACTGCTGGGCAGAGCGCATGCATACAGGCAGATATTCAGAAAAGCAGCTTAGATCAGGCCAAAAACGTCCAAACAGTCCTGAATGATAACAGCTGACTGGAGTAGCTCCACATGTGTCTGCACAATTACACTGGTTTCACATTATGTAGAAATGCTGCCGTCAGTTTAAACCAGGTAAGCAGAACGCCTCTCATAGGACACACACACACACACACGCGCAGATACATTAAAATATTGTAAAGCATAGCAGCCAGTCACAACTCTTTGTTGTCAGTCTGAGACTTTTTCAGAGTCAGGGAGATTTCAAAGTTGACTGCAGCAGAGGTTTGTTCAGTGGAAGGTGTAAAATGTGATTTTCTCATACATTTAAAAAAAAAAATAAGAATATGCCCTGTCAGGCTAACATACAGACAATCACAACTTCCCACGCAGCTATGGGCACTTTTGTAATCCGATCCAGTAGACTAGCATGTCTTAAAAGTTTTTAAGAATTACACAATACACAAGTCCAAACCATATGAGCGCAGGGAGAACATCCAAACTCCAGAAGAATCTGCTTAAACCTGACCAGACCTCAACATCTTGACTCAATAAAGCATAAACCCAGTAGTATCACATTTTTTGTCTTTCATCTTTGCTGTATGATGTCAAACATACCCTGTGATTGCAGGGGGCTACAATGAAAAGTTATGATTTTAATATCATAAATATGCAGATTTCTAAACAAAAGTATCTAATGCGGACAAAAATTTAATTTTGGTCTTGGTATTTGTTGTAGCGTACTGTGTGTTCTTCTTTTTCCTATGCTCTGTGTGTCAAGGATTAAATGATTTGATGTTCCAGGGGAGAGGTGTTTAAATTACATGTCTTTTTTTTATGTGTGCATGCTCTTACAGGACTAGTTACTTGTGCTTTCCTGTCTGTACTTGTGGAGAGTTGGATAGTTGTGTGTGAACTATCCATGTCGGCCATTTGCATGCAAGGCTGGTTCCACTGCAGAGGAGAAGAGAGGCCTGACGCTCTGATTGGTGCAGGAGTTGCTAGACAACAGATGTCCGGCCGGCTGAGAGGTGGACTACCTGTGGAGGAGGGAGAGAGAGGAGAGAGAGAGAGAGAGAGAGAGAGAGAGAGAGAGAGAGTGAAAGAAAAGTGGAGGTGGAAAATGATGGACGGTGGGAGTGAGGGAATCGTATGACGGACTGTACAGTTAGTTACAGTACAGTGAAAAAATACAACCAACCTAACATGGCTTGCCTTTGCATGTGCCTTTAAAGCAGTGTTTGCAATGGTGACTTTATTGCTTCAAAGAGAAACTATTTATATTATGTCTTCCTAATGTAGGTCTAAAACAACATTGCCTTACTCACACAAATATGCTGCTACAATAACTGTAGCTACTCTAATGTTACTTGAGTATTAAAACTCTTATCTATGATTGGTTCACAATGCAGAGTCCAAATGATTACATTTGAGTAAAAGACCCCATAAACTCTTGTTCATGGACCCCAACTGCTATGTGACCACCTGGCACCATAAATCAGCTGAAAACGGGGGCTCCGTGTTTCCCACTGGGTGAGACTTTTTTTTCTCTTTTTGTGATGGTCGACTTCTATGTTTGAAGAGCTCTGATATTCAAAAATCTTACGGCTGGTTGCAAAACATTGCATCCAAAAGACTACATCTGAATGGGAAAGAACGCACATGAATGCAACATTCTGTTTCACAATTTCAAATACATTTCCAGAGAGACATTTGAAAAGAACACAAAATAAATACATAAACATCTTATTTTGGTTGTGGGCAAATGTATTTGTGTGGAGAAAGGCTGCATGCTTCCCTTTAAAAAATCTGGACCAGTCCAACTTCAACAGAGTGCTGTATGCTGTCTAGTAGTTTGTCTGCTGTAGATGATGAATTATGAAGTGGAGCTGGTATGTAAGACAGTAAGGAAGTTTTATGTGAACACAGGATATCTGATTATTTACATACAACAAATGTATCTCGATAAAAGATTATGTATGCATTATGTATATTATTATTTATACAAACATTTTGTATAAATATTGGTATGCATGAGTCATTTTGGAAACTGATGGACAGCCACTACAGTTAGAAATCTGACAACATGAGTAAAGTGAAATGCAAAAGTCATTGCCACCAACACACACATCAAAACCACTGTAGCAGCAATGCAGCATGCAACGTGATGCTGTTGGCCTAAAATTAACATTCATATATAACCAAAAAACAAAGTGACATAAAAATGAAGTGACAGATTAAGAAAAGTGGAAGATTTGGATAATAAAATGAATCTATTAAATTAGCAAAGGACAGTTTGTGTGTTAGACTGAGAGAAGCAGAGGGAATCATGCACTTTTCAGTAATATGGTAAGACTGAGGCAGAGATGGAGAGATTAGTGACCTTGCTCAGAGGGTCCTGCTAATCATGAAATAATGGCTGAGCTGCCCTTGTTTCTGGCTCTGCCTGTCAGGCTGCCTGTCTATCTCTCTGCCATTGTGCTTGTCTGTAAAGCTGACAGTATACTTCCAACAAGAATTTGGCATACTCTCACAGGCAATATGGCGAACTTGTGACCACACAAAAGTGCTGCATTGGGGTCCGTTTGTAGTGTTGCGTTGCGTGCGAGCCTTGTGTTAAAAGTTTTCACACAAACTTCTCCACCACCCCTGTAGTGTCATGTGTTTGTCCTGTGGCCTTGGGTTGCATGTTTACAGTTTATCTGCTGTTCATTTGTCACTACTCCAACTTAACTTTGAGTCTGGGTCTGAATCACATGCTGCACCTGAATGGGCACTGAGTTTTATTTACAGATCCTTACTAAAAGTATATGCAGAAAACCTTACATTTTACTCTTATAAGGAAAGAAATTATGCTTAGTGAGTTAATTATTTTGTAATTTTAGTACTTTTTTAATTTGATGGATTGCATATACTTGGAGGGCAGGATGGGAAAGAGTTTTAATAATATCACTTGTTTTAAAAGATCATCAAACTGACTGGCACACGCTGCTTTCATCTCCTTTTCTGTACCACGGCAGAAACTTCTTCCTCCTGTATTTTTAGCTTTTACTGTACTGCAGCCACAGCTCGTGCTGTATTTGTTTTGCATTTCACTGTTGGGATTTTATTCTGGCTTTATCTTTTTCACTGCGACTGATAAACTCCACCCGCTGCTGTGCTCGCGCAGTCCTTCAGTCTCAGTACTCATATTGTACTGGCATTTTTACAGAGCGTTTGAGAGCACGCCAAGTTCCATTTAGTTTAAAGTATACTGGAGCCTTAAGTTTGTCTGTGTGTCTGTCTGTGGCTTCCTATAGGTGCACTACACGAACAAACAAACAGATACCTGTACCTATAATGGGAACAAGCTGCTTGGTGTTCTTTGTTGGTCTTGCCTGTGAGCTGCACTGAGTCCACAGTTGCCATAGCATCAAGAAGAGCAGAGGAAGGAGACAAGGATAAGAGTGAAAAATAGGCGTCCTATTTTATTTGAAAAAAAAAGAAAGTAGAACCCACTGCTCTTCTTTCTCTCCCTCACTTTCTCTCTCTCTATCTCTCTCTCTCTCTCTTGCTCTGTATGTCCCAAGGCAGAGCTGAAATGGGTCGCCCCAACACCATAATGTATCGCTCATTATAACGACTGCTGCTCTGACTCAGTTGTTCCAAATCAGAGTCACTGGACTATGGTTTCTTCTGAAGGGGCGATTTGAACATTACTTCTTGTTCACAAAGTCAGATAAGATCAGTCTGGTCTCACAGAGGAGAGATGTGAAATGTTTTCTGGGATGCCATGTGACCAGCCTCTCTGTGGTCACATTGCTGCAGGGGTACAGTAACCCCTGTAACTGGTCCTGTCTGTCTCACCCTGAAGACAGTGTTGTGTTCAGGCCATGAAATTTGGGTAATTAAAAAAGAAAAAAAGTTTGAGGAATTATTATTTGAAGGAATTAGTCTCTAATGTATGCATAAATGAGTACATTGAACATCACACTGATTATTCTACATGTGATTTTGCATACATTTGCCATGTATGTATATCTGATATGTAATATCAATGGAGGATAAAACATTTTCATTAATTTGGGAATACTGATTTTCAACTAATTTTAAGAATGTTAATAGCAAGATAGACTTTTTGATTGTTACATTTTCTTTGGGTTAAGCTTCTGAATATCCTTGTGAATTTATTTTGTCCTCAGGTTAGCAAAGGGAACTTGTAAGCTCATTGCAGGGGCTCATATCGAGCCAGACACCGAAGGTCAACATGAACCCACTGTGTTTGCTTTTCACTGTTGCCTGTCTGTTTGTGGCACATAACCAAGCACATATCAGGTCACATTATTTTTGTCAAGCATTTCACTTCTGATAAGGAAAAGACCAGGGCTGATGCGAAGCCAACACACAGACAGGCACAACATGCGCACAAACAAACACACATGCAGTAGTGTGAATGTCAGGTACAGAAACACACACTGACGCTGACAACGATGCCCAAACACTGCGCTGTGTCCTCCACTGAGTCAAAACTAACTTGCAGCCAACTTCATGTTAGATGATTCAGAAAGCCAATCATAGCAGGGAATAATGAAGAGTATTAAAAATAACCTGTCTCTGTTTCTCTCTCTGTGTTTGTGTCTCCTCTGTTTGTTTGTTTTTTTTTTTTCTTTTTCAGATCATCAAAAGCTGGAGAGAGAGGCGAGGATTTGCCGTCTATTGAAGCACCCCAACATCGGTGAGCTGCAAGTCCTCGATGCTCAAAATATGCACACACAAGAACACGGATACAAACGAAAACACACATACTCTGTTCAGGTCTCTGGTGATTCCTGCTATGGCTATTCATCTTCTAGATACAGTTATGAGAGAGCAAGTGAGAGAAACCAAGTGTGTGTGTGTGTGTGTGTGTGTGTGTGTGTGTGTGTGTGTGTGTGTGTGTGTCTACACAGGTATCTAATGATGATGAATCTGTGTGCTCTCCCAGCTGCGTCATCAAAAAGACATGGGAGCACTACACCCTCCCCCTAAACCACTGACCCTCTACACTCTTTCCTCCTCATTATGCCTCTGACAGAACCTGTCTCTCCTCTTTTCTTCTGTTCAAACTCATCCTCTCATGTTCTTTCTTTCCTTCGCTGTCATTAATTCTGATTCCTCAAATCAGTTCTCCATCACAGCTGCAATTCCAATTGTTTCTCAAGATATCTCTGCTCTTCTAAAGTTTGAGAACAACTGTGACGGATCATTTTGACTCCTGGATGTGTTATGTTAAAAGACAATATATGATATATTGGTGGAAAACAAAGGAATTATATGGGACAATTCTTCTCTATTATCAGGAGTCAAATTTTGAGGGCATTATTGACTTCCTAATGTCAATACAAACTCCTGCGTGTGTTAATACCTCAGATTAACACAGTAGCAATTTCAGCACAGCTGCAAGGATCAAGGCCTAACGTGGAAGCAATTCAGAAAGTTTATTTTCTCATATTGAATATTTATACATTTGAATGGATTTAAAGAAAGCATTAACTAGCTGTCCTTAAATCCAAGTAGTCAAAATCAGAGTTTAAAGTTTAAAAATCAGCATTAAAAAGTTTTGATCATATATTGATCTTAATAACAGCATGAATCATCATATTAAGTGGAGGTAGAATATATTATGCATTGCAGACTCATTTAGCTACTTGATTTACATTGTGTTTCTGATACACCTGACAACTAACAATTTATTTCTGAGGCAGAGCAAAACAAAGGAAGCTGGAAATTATGAGTATTGACCTAAGTGTATAACCGATTTCTCTTTTATTTGTTTTTTTCCTCTGTTTTTTTTTTTTTTTTTTCTCTTCTCTCCTGTGATCTTTTCTCCACAGTACGGCTCCATGACAGCATATCAGAAGAGGGTTTCCACTATCTGGTGTTTGATCTGTGAGTAAGAGATTCCCACAGACACACATTCAAATTTCACATGTCCTCTTGAGTAAGAGCTAGTCTGTGTGATGGTGCCTAGGTGTCCGCTTAGCAAACTCTAACTAGACCACATTTGGATTGATGAAGAGCTGGTGCAAAAGGCTCTTGACCTACATCCCCTGACCTCTATTGCACATTCATAAAACTCCAGCAAAGAAACATGTAACCACCTCTTGCGCATTCTCACGCAACCATTCATGCACACAAACAGACACATAACATCAAGTTTATAGCTTGACCTAAATTGTTCACTGGTGTAATAACTGTACGTTGTGTAAGGATGTCTACACACACTAATATTGTCTCTGTCTCCCCACAGGGTGACAGGAGGGGAGCTGTTCGAGGACATCGTAGCCAGGGAGTACTACAGTGAGGCTGACGCCAGGTAGTGCACACCCACATACACTGCTGAGCACAGCAGCTGTTATGCATCTCTGTCCGTTACTGGAGAGAACAACTGTGTGCACCTTTATACGTGTGTGTATATTTGTGTGTTTCACATATGGTCGTCTCAGAGGTGTGATGCAGCTGCCTTGTCTCTGAGGCATCTCATAGAGTTATTTATAAAGGTGATTAACGACACATAGCCTGCGGCATTAATCATACTCATAGACGGAGAGAGGGAGAGAGTGTGTGTGTGAAAAAAAAGTGTTTGTGTGTGTTTGTGTGTGTATGTGCTTGTGTGTGTGCATCTGTGTTTTCTTGTCATAGACTTTGTTTAGCTTTGGTTTGTCCATACAGTGTAATACATTATATCCTGCGACTTGCCGTCATGTGACTGAATGTCATCCATCAAGAAAACAGAATCACTCATAAGAAGTCTAATGAGAGGAACATATGATACATTGTTATGAGATTGTTTCCTCTTCTCCTCCTCTCAATTAATTTCCCTTCCCGTCTCTTTTTCTCTACCTTTCTCTCTTGCCTTTCCGTCTCTCCTTCCATTTGTTCCATCACAATCCTGCGCTTGTTCATTACTCGCCTGCCCTCAGCCACTGCATACAGCAGATCCTGGAGAGTGTCCATCACTGCCATGTTAATGGGATCGTCCACAGGGATCTGAAGGTTTGTATCACCACATCCACGGGTGCAGCTCTCTTTAGTCCTGACTCTGTGTAACAGGTGGCAATAGTTCCCTCGTAGTCCTCACCTTTGCATCTTTACGTTTTTTTATTTTATTTTATTTTTTTATAGTTCGTTTGATGAAATAAAGATGAAGTTTTCATTGTTTCCTCTAGTAGGAAGAAATATGATATCATTATAGAGATTTCTTTTGTTGTTACATTCTTCTATTATCCTTATAGGGGCTTTAAAAGCTTTGGACAGTTAATAAAGGTGATTTGACCTTGACCTTAGCTTTGAGATTTTCTGCAATACTGGTTTGCTGGATTAGAATTCAAATGAAGTCTTTATTCTTGGTTCAGTATTCGTCCTGGCAATGTCAAGAATAAAGATCGTCTTTTAATACTACGGCTATGTTTCAGACAGCATGCTAGTATCTTTGTGTGAGTGTGTCGTACTCTGACTGCAACACTACGGTGACAGGAATAGGAGCAACCACAAGCCAGAATCTCAGGAATGATCACCATTTGCATAATTGTATAAAAATTATGTTGAGACGTGAAAGATTTTCCAAGGTCATGAATATTCTATTCTTAGTCTGTATTCTCATAACCTCCTGAGAGCATTTTTATGTGGAGGGAAGAGGGAAGAGAATGCAAGAAAGCTCACTTGGATATGTTCAAATGGATTGTGAGCCTGTAGTTCTACCAAGAAAATAGATAAATAAATAAATAAATTCAGAGTAACCATGATGGTTTATGAGATTTCCAATCTGTCAACTTTGTAAGGGGAGATGTTCTTTGCTGAAGTGATTTAAAGTTTTCAGATGCCTCATAATCAGGAGGATTTATTCATCATTATGTAAATTGTTATGTAGATGTGTCCAGTTGTCAGTTAGTGTCTATGTCCTGTTGATTCATATGTCTGCCATAAACTGACTGCACACAGGCTGGCTGTGTTTAGAGTCTCTAAATGTTAGGAAATGTATTATTCATTAGAGCACACACTGTCTAACTGGCCTTAGGTTAGCAAAGACCTTTCTGCACCTGTGTCCGTGTGTGTATGTGTGGATGTGTGTGTGTGTGTGTGTATGTGTGTGTGTGTGTGTGTGTGTGTGTGTGTGCTTGCTGGGGGCTTGCATATATTTACGATTGTGCTAAACTGTGTTAGTGTGCGGCGTGTGTTTGTGGTTACCCATATGTGGCCGAGTCACTTGTTTTTACACCCACGTCTCCTGTGACACCACACCTTCCCCCTGTATCCTTCTCCCTGCAGTGTGAACTTTGTTCCCACTCATGGATTTTAATAGTGGATTGGTGTTACTGTGGACAAACGTATCATGTCTGCAACCAATTCACTCTCTCAGAATCCATGAGACTGAGGGAGCAAGTCCACAGCTCCAGCATGGAAAATGTCCGTGGTCACGTAGAGACTTGGTCCCGTGCACATTTCTGTTTCTCTGTCATATGTGTGGCAGAAAAGGGAGTTGCCCCAGACACTGATTTAAGAGCAGTTTAGCATCGTTGACCCCTAATGGTTTGGATTAGGATTTGGTTTGGCTAATCTGATTTTAGATCTGTGTCTGTGGGCGGCTTGTTCCCAGAGCGTGTGACCTCTCACCTCTAACCTGTTTGACTCCGCCCCCCCCAGCCTGAGAACCTTCTATTGGCCAGTAAGCTGAAGGGGGCGGCGGTCAAGTTGGCTGACTTTGGGCTGGCTATCGAGGTGCAGGGGGACCAGCAGGCATGGTTTGGTGAGTATTCATCCATCCATTTTCAACCTGAATCAATCAGTCAGTCAAGCAACCAAGCAATCAAGCAATCACTCATTTAGTTAGCCTAGTCAATAAAATGCCCACTCCCGCCTACCATTCCACATCTCCTCCCTCCCTCCATGTCACTCCTCCAGGTTTTGCCGGCACCCCAGGCTACTTGTCTCCAGAAGTTCTGAGGAAAGACCCATATGGGAAACCAGTGGACATGTGGGCCTGTGGTAAATAACATTCAAATTCTCTCACTGCAACTGTTCGAATAAACTTGACGCTGGAGCTAAGGCCTCAATCTAAGGCTTTGTCTGACCTGGTCAGGTGTGTGAAGAAGCATGGTCTGCACCTACACTGCAGCTTCATGTTGTTTCAAGTGTATTGTGCAGTGTCAAAAGAGTGAATTTTATGTTCTTGTTGAATAATAAAATCACTGCAATATATCGTTCTTACCTGCTTAACTTCACATGTCACCACCTCGCAGGTGTTATTTTGTACATCCTGCTGGTGGGCTACCCTCCCTTCTGGGATGAGGATCAACACCGCCTCTACCAACAAATTAAGGCTGGGGCCTATGATGTAAGTGTGCACTCGCATACACAGTAGGGCTATCATTAAAAACAAACGACATAGTTTGTACAACGTCAGTACTAGTATAAGGTGACACCCCTAATTCTAACAGTAGCCCTACTGCACACAAACTCAGTCTTAAATACACAGGTTTACTTTTATCTCTTATGTCTCTTTCTCTCAAAGGATGTTTGTTTTATAAATTTTCTGTTCCTTCATTCATGTTTTTCCTTATTGTTTCTCTTTTCCTTTTACTTGATACATGAAGAATATTAAAATCATATGATTTTTTGCCTGTATTTGCTTTATCTGTGCAATGAGTTTTGACATTGTGTTTTCTTTTGCAGTTCCCATCCCCAGAGTGGGACACTGTAACTCCTGAGGCCAAAGATCTGATCAACAAGATGTTAACCATCAATCCCAGTAAACGCATCACTGCCGCAGAGGCCCTCAAACACCCCTGGATCTGCGTATGTGACACACACACACACACACACACACACACACACACACACACACACACACACACACACACACACATACATAAATAAAGATCCACACACTGATGATAATTAACTACTGTAAGTAACAGACTGCTTAAATTCTATATTGTCTAACTTCCATGACCACACATCTCCCAACAATCACATTGCCCACACATGCACAACAATACATTCCTGCCACCTATTGTTTCCATTCCCTCCTAATCCTCAAATCCTCTCATCTTCTTCCTGCAGCAACGGTCCACTGTAGCCTCCATGATGCACAGGCAGGAGACTGTGGAGTGCCTGAAGAAATTCAACGCCAGGAGGAAACTCAAGGTGAGGCTTCGGGCAGTCCTTCATGTTTCTATTTATATAGAACAGTCCATCCACCCATCTTTCTCCCCCTCTCTCTTTCTGTCTTCCTCACTCAAGACTTCTCAGGGTAACTCAGAAATGATGAGTTGTTCTCTTAAACCTTCAAGTTGCCCTTTTGCTGTGCTCCACTTTCTTGCTGTAACCTTATAATCAATCTTCCTATTTCTCTCTTCCTTCCTTCCATCATCATTACCGCCTTCTTTCCTTCTCTTCTACCACTGCAGGGAGCCATACTGACCACTTTGCTGGTCACAAGAAACTTCTCAGGTATGTCTCTCTCAGCCTAGTGTCCAAGACCTGGTTTTCCCAAACTAAAAACATATATCCTAAAAAAAAAAAGCAGGTGGTTGGGAATATTTCTTAGCCTTTGATATTGGAAGTGGTTTGGGTAGTTGCTCTAAGATAAGTGCATCTTCTATTCACGAGGAAACAAATCAGAGGCATTACAAAATAGGTAAAAATGTGTATTCAATCTTTAACTTTGAAAAAAAAAAATGAATAGAGGCTTGTTAACCTATTTTGGAACGCCTTCGATCTGTTTCTCTATAGAACAAAGATGATCTTGGCACAAATACAGTGTGCCGTTGGTAAACAGAGTCATCTCTCTTTATCTCTCTAGCTGTTCTCTACCACTCTCTCCCACTATTTTGCACTCTGTCATACTTTTTTGCATGTATTTTCTTTGACCTATCTCTAATTTCTCAGGCTCTTACCAGCCTGTTTTCTCTCTTCATTCTACAGAAAAATGCATTAGTGCATTTGTGTCTCTTTTTATTCATCATCTTCTTCCTTTTTCAATTTTCTTTCCTTCTTTTGTTTGGATTGTGGTATCCATTTGAGGTAAGATTTTTGGAATGACAGGGAAATATGTGGGGTAGGGCCCAGCCAATAAGTTGTAATTTTTAGCCTTTCTTGCTCTCCTAATAGCCAATCACATATGCATGAAGATGAGGTGTTTGGTATTCGAAAAGAGCAATATTGAATCTCACGCTTGCCAAAGTGCCAATATGAGATCAGAATGAAATTTAGACAAGGATACAGCATGTATTTTGAAGTGCAACTTAGTGTTTGGATTCTTTATGCTGTCAGAAACAAAGCGTGAGATGAGTGATGGGATTGTATATGTGGGCGCTAGTGGTTAAGTGCATGTGTATGCGTGCAAATGTCAAGTTAAGAATGCTGTGTGAGCCTCCTGGAGTTAGGTAGATTATCCTTTTCATCACCTGCTAAATACACACCCAGTCAACCACCCACCCTTCAGCCCCTCACATGTGAATTAATATGTAGTAGGACACAACCTTGCATAAATGATGATGCCATTCAGAGCATCTGTTGCATTGCATCATGGATCTTGCAGTTGGATTTTTGCACCTGGAGTTTGAAGATAAGCACAGTTGACTGATATGCTTGCTGCATGTTAGTGTAGCCTCAGGCTCAGGACTCTGTTTGTCAGCTCTCATGCTGAAGTGCTGTCTCTTTCTTTCCTTCTACAGCAGCCAAGAGTCTGCTCAACAAGAAGCCCGACGGTGTTAAGGTGAGCTGCTTTGCACAGTGAAGAGAATGCTTTGTTACTTGCATTAGTCTGTTGGAACGTGAGAGGATTATTATTATGCATTTTGCACTTAACAGCATCATCATTCAGGGACAGTCACTCCAAGCAGTGGGCAATGATTATTTTCTTAGCTTGATCTCACAGTTGTTTTGTGGCACAGCTGACCACATTGATTATATGTGAGTGACTATATTTCTAGTACAATTATCCTTTCTTTTTTCTAAATACTGGTCTCTATGGTGTCTCTTCCTGCCTGTATTTCCTTAATGGACCATGTCTCACATTTTCCATAGACATTTAATCTTTACTTTAGAGCCTCTGTTGTGCTCTTTCCTAATTTCTCTGTGTGTTTGGGGTCCGATCTGAAATGAACACTTAACGCAGAGGTGCATGTGTTCACATGTGCACGTGTGTGTTGAGATTTTTGTGTAGCTGACTAATTCTGTGTGCCTGTTCTACATTTAAGTGAGTTTTAATTTGAGGTTGGACCTCTGCATACATTGTCTGAATCAGTGTCTATGTGTTTGGGTCTTACTCAGGCCTACACTATGTCCGTTCCAGGGAGTGTGAATGGTGTCACATGGATGAGGGAAAATGAGAATTTAAAAAAAAAAAAAGTCCTCATTAGAGTAAAAATTGAAGAGACATGTCAAGAGAGTGAAAGTTTGACAATATAGAGTAGTATGTTTTATGAAAGAAACATACTGAATGTACAAAATAACAGGGAAAATTTTCCCTCTGAATTGGTGAATCCAGATGAAATCTATTACTTTGTGTTGATTTCCTTTATCACAATTTGTGATAAGTAAACAGTAAACATAGCCAAGTGTATTAACTCACTGAAGATGACAGTCTTTCCCACAATTTTATGTTTAGATTATTAATATTACTTATTAGATTTTTTTTCTTCAGTTGTACCAATATAAATCAACATTCATATAGATGGATGAGGAACATTTTATTGGAAAGATCTCAGTTGGAAAAGGGACTGTCAGCATAGTTTCCCTTTTTTTTATAATTGGTCCGCTGTGTAAATTTATTGCCTGTTCCTAGCTTATCTGACAGGGGGGGTGGTCAAAAATAAATTTAAATAGCTGTCTCCTCATCTCCCCCATATGGTTACTAACAACCCCTTTTATATTCATGTAGGTCTAGCAGTTTAGAATAAATCAAAATGTGTCTATTAAGAAATGTGGTTTTAGAAACATAAGAAGTTTTCCTCCAATTACTTTCAGGATAAACCTGTCTGCCTAAATCTGCTTTATGAAATACACAGATTTCATAAAGAGGTCTTGGTTGGTAACAGTAACAGTCGGTAACATCAGATCTGAGACATAGGTTAGGATGATCTCTTTGGAATGGACCGTTGCCCGAGTGTGTGTGTGTATATGCGTGTGTGCACAAGTGGGTCTGAAAAGTGTGTATGTGTGTCATTTCCCCTCTACACTGCCCCCTGCAGGTCAACAACAAAGCCAACACAGTGACCAGTCCTAAAGACACTGGCCCTGCCCCTGCACTGGTATACACACACAACCTCACCTACACTCGCACCTTCATCTGCAAAACTTCTACAACTCCCCATCTCACACCCCCAACTGTGGAGGAGGTACAGGTTCACCCTTTCACAGAAGGGGGTCAGATCAGTTCCTGTTTGATCTCAACCTTGCTTGTTACTATTTAAATTCTTTACCAGGTGCATAAGAATATGAAAAATATAATGGGTGATAACACAGGGTGAGACGGATGTCTAGCTCAACTATTGGCTATCCCTGAATGAAATAATGTGTAAAAGCTTTTGCCACTGCGCAGCATGTCTCAGTTGCACCATAGTTGATAAAGCTAAGTATGAAAGGTAACATATTCATAATTCAGATCGATGTGTTCATTCATTCATCTGAATTAGCAAAGCATGCGTGGGGGAATACCCGAGCTCGGCCATTTAGGATTTGCTGGATCTGTATAATGATAATGTAGGGCTTGAGCAATAAGGCTTCACATACATGTTTGGATTTGACTTTGAGTAGTGTGGTCCTAAATCTGTAGTTAGGGGCAACCTCTACCTCAACCCCCCACCCCTCCCACCCCCTCCCTCTCCTTGTCCCTTTTTCCTCTGCAAGAATCTCTCCCCTCTCCTTCCTCTTTACAAACCTATGGCATGCATGATCTCCTCCCGTGTCATGAAAAGTACTTTACTGTTTTCGTTGTTGCATGTGAAAGTAAAATTCGTAATCCAAGGATATGTTGATCGTATAGTTTGTCTGTGCATGGCTGGAGAGTGAGGTTGTCAGCTCAATGTGATGCCACGTTCCCAAGTGGTTTGGCCGTCACTCATTGGCTTGTGCATGGTGTCTGCTGACTGGCTGCCTACGTCAGGCCACATGACTGCTGCTCTGCATGATGTCAAAGGCTTCCTGTCTCCCCATTTGCTGTCTAGATGATTACGCATGAACACAGGCACATGACATCTCTTTCTCTCTCTCTCTCTCTCTCTCTCTCTATCCTCCTTTCTCTCTCCATCATCATAATGCACACACACACACACACACACACACACACACACACACACACACACACACACACACACACAGATGCAGGCTGCTGATGTTATAATCTAGTGTAATCTGGGTGAGTGATTAGAAGGACTGAGCTGGTCATCAGGATCGATTCCACAAAAGCCCAGACATCTGATTACTAAGGCAGGACACTGGTGAGGGCTGATGAGAGAAAAGCAGAAAAAAAGACATTACCATACAAGAAGGGAGATAATATAAGCACAAAGACAGAAAACAAGCGAAGAAGGGTTTATTCTTTATTAAATAGATAGATATATAGATAGATAGATAGACCTTCTCAACCATCCAATTCTGAAAACACACATATGCTTTACCAGCTCCTGTGCCATCATACCTTTTTCTGGGTTTCTTTAGTTATCTCTTCCCACAAGTTCTCTGTCACTTTTGCTCTTCAGGAACCACAGACAACTGTGATTCACAACCCTGTGGATGGAAACAAGGTATTACAACAAAACCACCATGTTCATTGTTAGCTGCATTTATTCATATTAAAGCCATTTGTTCCTATACTTCAGGCTTTTTCCTTTCACAGTACAGTTAATAAAAAAACAACAGTATCTCCCTAACACCAAAAACAGCTCTTAACTTTGACTGTTACATAATCAAACATTAATAAATTATGTTCAGTGGGGAATACTGGTAGCATCAGGGTTTAATATCCTGACCATGTACTTGCAACATCCCTGATTTAAGCCCAGCTGGGGTCTTAGTTGCATGTCATTAACCCTCTCCATCTTCTTATTTGTTGTCTGCTATTTTGCAATAAAGGATAAAGAAAATAAAATCTTAAATTCTTAAAGATAGCTTTAAGCTTAGCATTTTATTACAAACTTCTTTTTTCCAACAATCATTGATATTTAAAACATACATTGTACCATATCATCATCAATATATGCAAATTCAAAGGACTAAAATGTATATGTTGCCATTCTTAAGGAGTCCATTGAGAGTGCCAACACTACCATAGAGGATGAAGATGTAAAAGGTAGGGAAACATGTGTAGCCTATTTGTTTTCTCATACTTAACAGTTGTCGCCTACACTGTGCACTTACAACAGTCAGTCCTCGCCATTTTCATTCAGACCGATCACTCAATCACTTTGTATGCTTCTCTTCACCCTGTTTTGTAACTGCACAGCAAGTTCACTACTGCAACCCCCCTCTGGCTGTCAACTCTTCCTGCAAAAAGCAGTCCGCCCTGTTCTTTTTTTGTCCTACCCTCCCTCACATACTCAAGTTTCTCCCATTTTATGTCTGAGGTTGATGCTGACATTTGTCAACACTACTTGCTTTTTCTTCTTCATTTGCATACACTGTCTTGATTTCACTATTACTAAATGTCTTCTTTCTGTTTTCTTTCCTCCCTTTTTTATGTTTTGTTGAAAATATACTTGTTTTCCCCATAACTTCTATCCTGCCTTTGCCCATACATATGTATTTCGGTTACATCCCTCACCACCACACACACACTCGGCAGCCCTTCGTCTGGGCAGCTTAGTGAGCGGTATCTTGAGCTCTAAGAGCCGTTCCTCACAGATGTCTGACTCAAGACAGACTCCCACCTCCTCAGTTCAGAGTAAGTCCCTCCACAGTATGGGAGATGCCCTGTTTTGTTCCCCTCCTATTATCTAGTCAGTCATCACTGGAGGAAACTGCTCCCAACATGTAAAGTGCCTCAAATCCTGGGTTCCTACTTTTCAAATGATTTCCCTCATTTAGATGATTGAATGTTTGAGATTATTTCTCCTTGTGTTGCATTGACTACCTCTTCCCCAGAGGAAAAAAAAACTGTGTTTTTGACCCCTAAGTTATCTGCTTCGCCCCTCTCCTTCTTCTGTGTATGAATTGAAGAGGATGTTCTCCTGCTGTATATTCCTGTCTTGTTGATACATATTACCTTCTCACTCCTCCATTTCTCTTATGTTCTGAGATACCCAAACATTGACTCACACAGTTAAAAGCTGACTCACATACACACATGTAGCTCAGCATTGTAGTTTATGCCTTTGAAGGACTATTATAATGATATACAGTATTTTCTTTTATTATTTACTGTCTTTTTGTTGCACAAATTAAGTAATTTTTTCAATATCCCCCAGCCTGCACCAATAACAATAAAGGTAACTGTCAACATTACTTAGTTAAAACTGCTTTTGTAGAAAATACTTGCATCTGAGCATTGGTTTGTCTTTGTTCATTTTGAGCTTTGTTGGGTGAAAGGAATCGTGTCAGCCTGCATTTTCCTGCCTGATATTCCTATTAGTCATGGGAGGCCTTCTTTTTGTTATGTTACACAGACATGAAATGACTTTGTGAAATACTTTTTTGAGCGCCTTCCATTTCTAATAACTTTGAAATCCTGCTGATTTCGTAGACTAGAACCTGTTTGAAGCTGATTTGATGTCAGACTCCCTTTATCTGCACTCAGACCCTACATTTGCCTGAAATACAGTAACAACTAGTCATTTTTGTACATCAGTTTGGGTAGCTGATGTTCTGTGATCTTGTCTTATAGCTCGCAAACAGGAAATTATCAAAGTGACAGAACAGTTGATTGAGTCTATCAACAATGGAGACTTTGAGGCATATGCGTGAGTTTCTTTCTCTCAGCATTTATACAGTGACATCTAACTGGAAACTGATATGCTTACTTTACTGTGTTGAGTCTTCTTCTCTGAGTCTTCTTTTCTTTTTTTGGTGTTACAGGAAGATTTGTGACCCTGGTCTGACTTCCTTTGAGCCCGAAGCTTTGGGTAACTTGGTGGAAGGACATGACTTCCATCGCTTTTACTTTGAGAATGGTGAGTTGAAAAAACATCAATCATGACTTTGTCAGAAAATAAATTTTAACAGCACCATTAGGACAGTTCCAGGTGGGCTGAAACTGTCACATTTTACACAATAGATGAATACAATGGCTAATTAGAGTCCCAACAGAATTATAGTGTTGAGAGGGAAATTTTTCACAATGTAAAATGCTTGCTCTTGCCAGTGTTCTCCAGAGCAGTTGAATTTTAGATGCTTTGGATCTGGGGTTGCTCCAAAACTAGATGCTGATAAGAATTTGACCCATGGAGCAATTAGAGGTTGTTTATTGATTATTTACTTCAGCTTAACGTTTTCCAGATGGTCTGACAATTTTAAGTAGGTTTCTTATGAACTTGCTTGCTTACATTGGCACAATGTTCTTTTGTGACTTTGTAATGCGTAAGATCTCATCTCTGAACCACATGTGAAAGACCTCCCTGTCTGATTCTCAGTGGGGAGAACTTTCAGTGTTCAATTTAATGTCCTGGCCAACAGTCACACCGCAGCTATGGAGCCAAAAATACACAATGTACAATTCTCACCTTATTTGAATACATTGCACAGTAATTGAAAAACGTGACAAAATGAAGTATATCTACAGTGCACTAAAATCACTAAATCTTTCAGTGAGGTTTTGTCCCACAATGTTAAGTGATAGTATAACAACAATAACTCACCCACTGCAGCAAGGGCGTATGTTTGAGTTTTTTGTCAGATTTTTCTCTGCTTTTAAGCAGATATTTTACTTTTTATAATTAACAGAAATATTGACATGAAAGATTTTCAAGGGGATCTTACAAGGAAATACATTTTTAAAACCCTGTAGATAGTGTGCTGCTCTGTTTGAGCCAACTATCTGCTGTGAGCCATTTTCAAATCTGACCTGAGATTCTGTAATTGTGTCCTTTTATTTTGTTGCTTTGGGCAACACAACTCAAGCCTTGCATGACAGAGATACAGATTTTTCCTTTTATATTTAAAAAAACACTTCTCGTATTATTATCACTTAGCACCCTGAACTCACTAGGGCATCAGAGCTCACCTGAGAGCCTGCAGCTCAACTGTGTCTTGACAGGATTTTCAGAATAAAATGATGACATTAACAAACAAATCAGTTGTGACTAATTGACTTCATGAAAATGTTCATGTCTTAATGACCCATATGCAGTAAGAACTCTGCTCTCGATCCACTCATGGAGAGAGGAAGGGAGGCTTTAAATAGTAAGTATTTCTCAAACTAATTTCAAAGAAGATACATGTTTGGATTGATTACAGAATCTTCTTATTAGCTAAGCTCAGCTGTTGCGCACATTTCAGTTCTTCTTTAAAAAGAACCTGATGTCTTAATTTGCTTTGGGAGGCGTTTTCACCTCACAAATAAGAAAACACTTCACTTAAATTTAGATATAATATCAACTGATGTTATTTTTGTCCGGTGAAGATGTTTTCAACATTTCAAACCTTTAAACTATAGATATAAATACTGTTTCAGATTCACCACCACTCATCACCAACTCCACCACTGCTACCACCGGGCTGCTGCTGGTCAACTTGCATAATGCAGTTTGAAGTTGTGTTTTTCCAGATCCTAGTCGTGCATCACACATATCCCAGTCTTTTACTCCTTATCATGATAGCCAACATTTGACAGAAAACAGAGGGGAGTTAAAATGGCAAGATCATGTGAGATGGGTAAAAAACATTGGCAGGACAATTCAGCAACACCTGGACATTAGGAAGGACATGTCCCTTCTATCTATTCCCAAATGTACACCCATGCACTGCAGCAACAAGAGCTAGAAACAAACACATGATGTACAGAGAGACAAAATACCCTAAAATTCTGCACAGAAATCTGTTTCATTGCTTCACATTAATTGGTAGGGTAAAATCACAAGGGAGGCCCCCAAGGGGAGTATAAATTGTGCATTAGTGGGCATGGGATAAATTGTTTGTTCTATATCAATAGTCACACTGATCAGTTTACAGTTCGTGTTTGCTGGTACACTGCAAGGGCATGGCTGTGATTATGGACTAACCTTGGAGTATGAAATCACTAATGAATAATGACTGCTATAAATGGCAGAATGTCCTCAGTCGTGGTAAAAATAGTTCAAATAAACCAGATATGTCCCAGAAACCTCAATCACTTGGCAAGCTTGTGCTTGTCCACCATCCAGCATCAACATATGGAGACTTTAGTTCATATTGTTTTCATATCAGTTAACAATCCTTCTAAGGTAGGATCAGTGCCTTGTTTCGTATAGCCATGCAGCTATATTAGATTTCTGTAACCTCCCTGTAATGAGTTGCTGTTTCTCACTCCCAGCTCTCTCCAAAGGGAATAAGCCGGTGCACACCATCCTCTTGAACCCACATGTGCACCTAATTGGGGAAAATGCAGCATGTATTGCCTATATTCGACTGACCCAGTACATGGATGGCAGCGGCATGCCCCGTACCATGCAGTCTGAGGAGACCCGTGTGTGGCATCGCCGTGACGGCAAGTGGCAGAACATCCACTTCCACCGCTCTGGCTCACCCAGCATCCCTTCCCAGTAAGAGACAGTAAGAAACACACAGCTGAAACCTTGATCAAAGAGAAACTAAACACCAGCTCAGAGCTCTTTTTTTTTTTTTTCCAGATTTCAGTGGTTAAAACTCTCACATTGATACAGTGATGTAGAAGTATACTCCAGGATGTGGTCAGTACACACTGTTGGGTGTGGTCACAGGTGCAACAGGTTACAAACTTCAACCACATGGCAGTGGAACAGGCTTCTGCTTTTAAGTTTTGTGTTGTTATACTTTGAATCAGACCAACCATGATGGAGGTGGCTCTTAGCGAAAGGGATAACCATTCGCTAAGCCCCACTCGCCTAGCTATTGTTGCTACATCTGTCTAATTTTCTATTCTAGCACTGCACATGATGTAGTTTACTGTTTTAAAGGAAGCAGATTTACTCCTCGAAATTTGCAGTCATTTCTAAAGACCTTTTTAGTGAATAACCATAGATTTTGACAGGTAGAATGACGATTGTTGAAGCATATTTTACCAGTTGTAGCTAGCTAGCTTAAACCAATGCCAACAAAATGTGTGCGTTAGCTGAAAACTCTGTCTACAGGTGACTTTTAGCTGTTACTCTTTTCGACTCATTTTAAAACTAAATATGCACTTGATGGCTGCATATACACTGTTGCCCATAAAGTTGGAATAATTTTGTTGGTGCAATGATTATATTATGTGTTCCTATTTAAATGCATCAGTAATCACTTTTGACCAGGTGCAATGATTATATTATGTGTCCCAATTACCCAGGTGAAATGAAATGAATCACATTGTCACAATCATTTCATGGAAATAGGTAAAAAATATTGTATTTCAACTTTATGAGCAACAGTGTATGATAGAAAGCTTTTGCTTTAGAAAAACTAAAAAAAATGACACCACCCTGCCAGCACACAATTGCATTATGTGGGGAAATCCAAAGCTTGACAGACCCACTGTGATTGGACAATCCTTGCCAGATGGAGGAGTTTAGTCAATTCAACAGTCAGTTTCAAAGGTGGAGTATTTAAGAGCTCTGACATTCTTAAGCTTGACAATTCAGTCATTAATGCATCACACAAGCAGGCTGAACAGGTCTTTTTCATGACGGACCCTTTGATTTCTCATAGCAGGAAAGGAATAGGTATAGGTGTAACCTATCATTTTAATTACAGCTCTGCTCCATTTATGGGCCGTGCACACCCTTGTATTTCCATTTTCCACTATTTCACTTACTATTCACTTAGATGGAGTTATGCTGAGAATTACCTGAGGTCACCAAACACCACAAACAAATATGAATCATAAAGGCTTGTGTTCCATCTGAACAAGTTCAACAAAAGAGACAGGAGAGTAATACGCCTGTCAAGCACACCCTGTACACACTTGCACAACCCCAAGAAGAGGGCTAATGATGCCAGGTGAATGAAATCATAGGTTGGGGTGAACCATAGGTGTGTAAGGGACATTCCAAGTGAGAACAGTGGTATTGTGCCAGGGCCTTTTAATGGTAGTATCCACATCTGTGCTTTTCCTGCTCTTACAGGTTCTAATGTTTGCTGTGAAAAAAAGGCTATACTGTTCTGATTATTTATCGACACAGTTAACATTTTCATTACTTTGTGATTTCTGACATTTATGTTCTCTCTCCCTCCTTTTGCAGTTAATGGAATATCAACATTTGGTCAAAAAAAGAAAAAAAATCCCATCAGCAAATCTAGAAGGGCAGTCAACTAGCCAACCCATGACTGCTCTCTGACCTTTGACCCTTCTATAAGGACATGACATCGCACAGGACACAAGTATTAATACATTTTACTGTTATGGCATTTTATTAATGGACATCATTCAAAACCACCATCGGGTGGCTGCACACCGTATCTGGACATTATGAAACAAGCATATTGACAACATTTTTTTGTTTGTTTTTTAAGATGTTTTGGTATGCATTTTAAATATAAAATAGAGATGTTTAAAAATCTACTACTGTAACCTCTCCCAAAAATTAGTTCTGTATTTTTATGTGTATTTATGTGTGTGCAATACAAAAACATTTGGAAGATCAGAATGTTAAAATTGAGCTTGCTTTAGTTCTGGTGATGTATATACATTGTGATTGTTGATAAAAACAAAAACAAACATTGAAATTGCTATTCTTGCTATCAGAGAAATTAAGAGTTTACGTAAAATCCAGTTTATGAGCTACATTTATGTTTGCTATGAGCTAAGTCATACTGTTTGAATTGTCCAATTTCAACCTATAATACTAATTTAAATGTAAAGAAAAGCAGAGCAGCTTACACTTTGCATTGAGGTATGTTTGCCTTTATATCAGTGAAATAAGAAATAAGAGAATGTAGCATATATGTAATATATGAAAATTCAAGACTATTGTGTAGTGCATGGGGGGGAATATTGTGAGTAAGATCATATGAAACTATAATATCTTCTGTTTGATTAGTGAATCACTGACTTGTTTGTTTGCATTTGTTAATGTTGTGCATCAGTCCTGTCCCAAATGTTTCCAATGTCCTCCAATATCATGGAACTGCTGTAAAAACAATAACACAGTCATGGTTGACATAAATATCAAAACCTCATATCTAAAAGGAGGCTAAATAAACTCCTGGTTGCAGAAGCACCCTTACATTTTGTATAAAAATTAGAAGAAAACAAGCTCATTTTTCATAATGTTTGTACTTGTATTGTATGACTGTATGTAGGGTTTCTGTTGTCATTTTATTCTTGTCATTTCCAGTGTGTTACTTTGCCAGTTGCACGGAAAAGGTAGAGATGAAGATTGAGCAAAGGCACTATAGTCTCTACCTTCAGTCAGTTGAAGTGTCAACCTGATGGTTGGGCCAATAAGTCTGGAAGCGTCATAAAAGCATTGGATTGCAGTCATACAAGAGTATGGTGAGAGGACAGTGAAGGAGACGAGTCAAATGAGAGTTGGACTGTAATAAATGTTGGGATGTCTTCCTTGACGATCAGTGCTTCTACTAGCCTGTGGTCTCCTTACCACTGCAAGACAATGCCAGTGTCTTTGTCATCCGTACTGTTTTCTCTTTTCAATTGGTTTGTCTCTTCTTTTTTTTAAGGGGAAAATATGATAAAAAAATTTCTTTTGACGAAACGTATGATGTCAATGCAATGCACCACTCCTTATATGGTGTGTACCTGTTGCCAGCACGGCAATGGATGGCTTAACATGTTTAAGAAATAAATAAATCAGCTAAAAGGTGTGATAATGAATGAGTTTAACCTGTTTTGTGTTGTTGGTTGTTCATTATTGGCCTAGTATGGGGATGGAGCGGAGCTTCTGTTGTGAGTGTTAGATTTTAAGTTAATTATTTGAAACATTTCTGTGTGATCTTTGCTCTATACTAATACACTCTGGACTCCCAAACGAATGTATAGGTTCTGTCATCCAAATGAAACGTAAACCACTTAAACCACCAACTGGACTGCCTTAGAGTAAAATGGGCAATTTGTAATTTCAGGAACCTATTTTTGTGTATTTGACAGATCATTACAGTAATTATATCTAGAATAAACACACAAATCTTAAATAAACAAATACATTTTAAGAGTTAAGCACAAATTGGACAGCCTTTGATCTGTCACTTTATTTTCTGGCTTAATGGTGACATCTTGTGGGTAGTGTATGACCTATTAGATGTAGAATATGCATTCAGTGGCAAGAAAAAGTATGTGGCCCTTTGGAATCAACTGGTTCTCTGCACTGAATTGTCATAAAGTATGATCTGATGTTCATCTAAGTCACAAATATAGACAAACACAGTGTCCCGAAATTAATATAACACAAACAATCATAATATTTTGTGTATTGAATACAGCCATTAAACATTCACAGTGGTGGTAGAAAAAGTAAGTGAACCCTTGCATTTAATAACTGGTTGAACCTCATTTTGCACCAATAACCTCAAACAAGAGCTTCCAGTATCTGCTAATCAGACCTGCACAATCTTCAGGAGGAATTTTGGACCAGTCTTCTTTAAAGAACTGCTGCGTCAAAACGTCATAGTATAGTATGGCATAAAAATGAAAAAATGTCATAGAATAGTATGGCATAAAAATATGAAAAAATGTCTTAGTAATGTATGGTATCAGGATGTCATAGTATAGTAAGGTCTAAAAATGTCAAAAAATGTCATAATTTAGTAAGGCCTTAAAATGTCAAAAAACATCATAGTATAGTATGGCATAAAAATGAAAAAATGTCATAGTATAGTAAAGTATAAAAATATGAAAAAATGTCTTAGTAATGTATGGTATCAAGATGTCATAGTATAGTAGGGCCTAAAAATGTAAAAAATCATCATAATTTAATAAGGCCTTAAAATGTCAAAAAACGTCATAGTATAGTATGGCATAAAAATGAAAAAATGTCATAGTATAGTAAAGTATAAAAATATGAAAAAATGTCTTAGTAATGTATGGTATCAAGATGTCATAGTATTGTAGGGCCTAAAAATGTCAAAAAACATCATAATTTAGTAAGACCTAAAAATGTCAAAAAACGTCATAGTATAGTATGGCATAAAAATGAAAAAATGTCATTGTATAGTAAAATATAAAAATATGAAAGAATGTCTTAGTAATGTATGGTATCAAGATGTCATAGTATAGTAGGGCCTAAAAATGTCAAAAAACATCATAATTTAATAAGGCCTAAAAATGTCAAAAAACGTCATAGTATAGTATGGCATAAAAATGAAAAAATGTCATGGTATAGTAAAGTATAAAAATATGAAAAAATGTCTTAGTAATGTATGGTATCAAGATGTCATAGTATAGTAGGGCCTAAAAATGTCAAAAAACATCATAATTTAGTAAGGCCTAAAAATGTCAAAAAACGTCATAGTATAGTATGGCATAAAAATGAAAAAATGTCATAGTATAGTAAAGTATAAAAATATGAAAAAATGTCTTAGTAACGTATGGTATCAAGATGTCATAGTATAGTAGGGCCTAAAAATGTCAAAAAACATCATAATTTAATAAGGCCTAAAAATGTCAAAAAACGTCATAGTATAGTATGGCATAAAAATGAAAAAATGTCATAGTATAGTAAAGTATAAAAATATGAAAAAATGTCTTAGTAATGTATGGTATCAAGATGTCATAGTATAGTAGGGCCTAAAAATGTCAAAAAACATCATAATTTAGTAAGGCCTAAAAATGTCAAAAAACGTCATAGTATAGTATGGCATAAAAATGAAAAAATGTCATGGTATAGTAATGTATAAAAATATGAAAAAATGTCTTAGAAATGTATGGTATCAAGATGTCATAGTATAGTAAGATATAAAAATGTAAAAAAAACATCATATTTAATGAGGCCTAAAAAAATGTCAAAAGACGTAATAGTATATTATGGCATAAAAATGAAAAAATGTCATAGTATAGTAAAGTATAAAAATATGAAAGAATGTCTTAGTAATGTATGGTATCAAGATGTCATAGTATAGTAGGGCCTAAAAATGTCAAAAAACATCATAATTTAATAAGGCCTAAAAATGTCAAAAAACGTCATAGTATAGAATGGCATAAAAATGACAAAATGTCATAGTATAGTAATGTATGAAAATATGAAAAAATGTCTAAGTAATGTATGGTATCAAGATGTCATAGTATAGTAAGGCGCCTAAAAATGTCAAAAAACGTCATAGTATAGAATGGCATAAAAATGACAAAATGTCATAGTATAGTAATGTATGAAAATATGAAAAAATGTCTTAGTAATGTATGGTATCAAGATGTCATAGTATAGTAAGGCATAAAAATGTAAAAAATCATCATAATTTAATAAGGTCTAAAAATGTCAAAAAACGTCATAGTATAGTATGGCATAAAAATGAAAAAATGTCATAGTATAGTAAAGTATAAAAATATGAAAAAATGTCTTAGTAATGTATGGTATCAAGATGTCATAGTATAGTAGGGCCTAAAAATGTCAAAAAACATCATAATTTAATAAGGCCTAAAAATGTCAAAAAACGTCATAGTATAGTATGGCATAAAAATGAAAAAATGTCATAGTATAGTAAAGTATAAAAATATGAAAAAATTTCTTAGTAATGTATGGTATCAAAATGTCACAGTATAGTAAATTATAAAAATGTAAAAAAATGATCATAATTTAATGAGGCCTAAAAAAATGTCAAAAAACGTCATAGTATAGTATGGCATAAAAATGAAAAAATGTCATAGTATAGTAATGTATAAGAATATGAAAAAATGTCTTAGTAATGTATGGTATCAAGATGTCATAGTATTGTAGGGCCTAAAAATGTCAAAAAACATCATAATTTAGTAAGACCTAAAAATGTCAAAAAACATCATAGTATATTATGGCATAAAAATGAAAAAATGTCATTGTATAGTAAAGTATAAAAATATGAAAGAATGTCTTAGTAATGTATGGTATCAAGATGTCATAGTATAGTAGGGCCTAAAAATGTCAAAAAACATCATAATTTAATAAGGCCTAAAAATGTCAAAAAACGTCATAGTATAGTATGGCATAAAAATGAAAAAATGTCATGGTATAGTAAAGTATAAAAATATGAAAGAATGTCTTAGTAATGTATGGTATCAAGATGTCATAGTATAGTAGGGCCTAAAAATGTCAAAAATGTCATTATTTAGTAAGGCCTTAAAATGTCAAAAAACGTCATAGTATAGTATGGCATAAAAATGAAAAAATGTCATGGTATAGTAATGTATAAAAATATGAAAAAATGTCTTAGTAATGTATGGTATCAAGATGTCATAGTATAGTAGGGCCTAAAAATGTCAAAAAACATCATAATTTAGTAAGGCCTAAAAATGTCAAAAAACGTCATAGTATAGTATGGCATAAAAATGAAAAAATGTCATAGTATAGTAAAGTATAAAAATATGAAAAAATGTCTTAGTAACGTATGGTATCAAGATGTCATAGTATAGTAGGGCCTAAAAATGTCAAAAAACATCATAATTTAGTAAGGCCTAAAAATGTCAAAAAACGTCATAATTTAGTAAGGCCTAAAAATGTCAAAAAACGTCATAGTATAGTATGGCATAAAAATGAAAAAATGTCATAGTATAGTAAAGTATAAAAATATGAAAAAATGTCTTAGTAATGTATGGTATCAAGATGTCATAGTATAGTAGGGCCTAAAAATGTCAAAAAACATCATAATTTAGTAAGGCCTAAAAATGTCAAAAAACGTCATAGTATAGTATGGCATAAAAATGAAAAAATGTCATAGTATAGTAAAGTATAAAAATATGAAAAAATGTCTTAGTAATGTATGGTATCAAGATGTCATAGTATAGTAGGGCCTAAAAATGTCAAAAAACATCATAATTTAATAAGGCCTAAAAATGTCAAAAAACGTCATAGTATAGTATGGCATAAAAATGAAAAAATGTCATAGTATAGTAAAGTATAAAAATATGAAAAAATGTCTTAGTAACGTATGGTATCAAGATGTCATAGTATAGTAGGGCCTAAAAATGTCAAAAAACATCATAATTTAATAAGGCCTAAAAATGTCAAAAAACGTCATAGTATAGTATGGCATAAAAATGAAAAAATGTCATAGTATAGTAAAGTATAAAAATATGAAAAAATGTCTTAGTAATGTATGGTATCAAGATGTCATAGTATAGTAGGGCCTAAAAATGTCAAAAAACATCATAATTTAATAAGGCCTAAAAATGTCAAAAAACGTCATAGTATAGTATGGCATAAAAATGAAAAAATGTCATAGTATAGTAAAGTATAAAAATATGAAAGAATGTCTTAGTAATGTATGGTATCAAGATGTCATAGTATAGTAGGGCCTAAAAATGTCAAAAAACATCATAATTTAATAAGGCCTAAAAATGTCAAAAAACGTCATAGTATAGTATGGCATAAAAATGAAAAAATGTCATGGTATAGTAATGTATAAAAATATGAAAGAATGTCTTAGTAATGTATGGTATCAAGATGTCATAGTATAGTAGGGCCTAAAAATGTCAAAAATGTCATTATTTAGTAAGGCCTTAAAATGTCAAAAAACGTCATAGTATAGTATGGCATAAAAATGAAAAAATGTCATGGTATAGTAAAGTATAAAAATATGAAAAAATGTCTTAGAAATGTATGGTATCAAGATGTCATAGTATAGTAAGATATAAAAATGTAAAAAAAACATCATATTTAATGAGGCCTAAAAAAATGTCAAAAGACGTAATAGTATATTATG